GGATCAAGCCCACAACCCGGGCATGTGTCCTGACCGGGAATCGAACCCCGATCACCTGGATCCTAGGTTGACGCTCAACCGCTGAGCCACACCCGTCTGGGCTATACTATTTCTTGAAAGTGGATATGTCTCAGGTGATACGTAGTAAAGCCATTTCTTTACGATATAAATTACAATTGAGTTTCTCATTTGCGTATTTCCGTAAGTATTATAAAGTTTCATATCTGTACATTAAGGCATAAGTAATCATGGCATACACTAAAAAATATAAGGAAAGAAAGAAAAAGTGCTATAGAAATTCAGATGTGGGAGGGATTGTTTCTAGCATTTTCTTTTTGTGTGTGCATAGGGGAAGGAGAGATGTAGGGGATAAATCAAAGATGATACAGAAGAAGACACCCAGGTAGAAAAAACCCATACAGAGTTTTAATCTTATGGAAACAATGGGTATTTTTGTTTTGCTTAAGAGAGACACAGAAACATTAGATTGGGGTAAGAGAGGCAGTGAAGAGGAGAAGATGAGTAAAGGGAAATGATGAGAATAATGTAAAGGTAGTTAGGACCAGATCTTATAGGATTGTAGGCCAAGAGCATGAATTTTATTTCGTACCATCAGGGAACCACTAAAACATTTTAAAAATTTTATTTTATTTAAAAAAATTTTTTCATCCTCACCCATGGTTATTTTTTCTGTTGCTTTTCGGGTTGGGAGGTAGAGAGGAGAGAGAGAGAAACCTCCATATGAGAGAGAGACATTGATTGGTTGCCTTCCACATATGCCCCGATTGGGGACAGGGATGGGGACGGGGATTGAGCCTGCAACATGTCGCCTTGGCTAGAACAGGACCTGGGACCTTCTTCACAAGCCAACTCTCTAACCACTGAGCCAGACCGGTTAGGGCAACATTTTGAACTGAGGTCTGACATTTAGTATATGTGCTGCCGAAGCGAGCACAAGAGGTCCGACATTTAAATCATGTTTTAGAAATACACTCATTTGTTGCATGTGGTAAAATGTACTGGAGGTTTGTTTTAATTAGCTATGGTAAAATATCAGATACAAAAATGATTATCAGTGAATGAAGATAAACTGTAGAGGAGAAAAAGGAGAGGCAACCATTTCAATGAAGGGCACCTAGGGGAAAGACCAGGGTTGGTAAAAAGGCAAAGGAGGAGAGGGGAAATAGCACGGCCCATAGCCCAGCAGGAAAGGATGGGCAGGCTGGGGCATGTATGCTAAATTTAGAATTAGGATATAGCTATAGGAGATGTACCTAGTTGTTTGGTACCTAGCCCCTGGGATATTTTAGGGTTGGGGGGGATGTTGACTTGGACATAAGTTTGCTGGGAATGGGGACTCTGGTTTGTTTATCAAAGAAGTACTCACAGAGGAAGACATGCTATCTATAGAATTTAGATAGCCCCTCTGGGAGGGGCTGTGTCTTCAGGATCAAGGCCCCAAATCAGGAGCATGTACAATGCGGAAAGTAAGAAAATATACTCAGTATGCTGCATTACTTGAAGATATAACAAGAACAAATTTGAGTATTGTCAACAAAAATGATAAACATTTAAGATTCTGAATCTAATAGCACTGTTGAAATATAATTAAAAAGTGAGAAAGTAGATGAAAAGCCAATTAGGAAGTTTGTTTGGTACTTATAACATGAGTCAATAATGGATTTTTGCTCCCTCTGTCTATTCACACGCTTTTTAGGCATATACTTGAGTTTTTGTATTCTTTGGATTTTAACCTTTTTTTTTTTTTTTAAAACTACTGTTTCTTCTGTTACTCTTAGCCATATTTGGTAAATAACCTTCAGTGGTCATGGGCATTATTATATTTTTATCCACTGGGGGAGTGGGAGAGCACATCTGCATTTGCAGTTCTTGCTTAAGGTTTTAGGTATCTTATAGATGGGACTTTGATTTTATTGTGTTCATAGATGAATTTATTTTTTACCTTTTTATAGCTGGTACCAATTCAGCTGTGGCATGGAGAATATAAGTATACTTTGAGAATTATTTCTACAATTCGAAGGTCAGTTAAGAAAGGTCATTATAAACTGCAGAAATCTAAAAAGTATTTACAAGTGTTATGAATTTTTTGCCATTTTGTAATTTATTACTAGGGAGATTGCAGACTACATTTACTAAAGGTGTTAAAGGTCAACCTCCAGGAGTCTTTGGGCTCATGACGGAAAGAACACAAGAGGGAGTGGGAGTCTTTTGGGGTGCAAAAAGTGTTCTTTATCTTAATCTTAATCTGAATGATGGTAATACAAATTTACATATATAAATTAAGCTAAATATTTCAGATTTATGTACTTTGTGTAAGTAGTACTATGATACAGCGATTAAACGAACCAAAAAATCCCATTGTCAACCTACTTGCTTTAACTTCCATCTTATAATACAGCTGTCCATATGTCACTGGAAATCAGTATGTTCCCATTGATAGGTTTTGATGAATCAAGAAATTAGAGCATTTCAGAAATGTACATAATCAAATATTTTAAACATGTGACATAAAGTTAATGTTTGGTATGCTTTATTCCCTAGTATAGGAGCTGTGACTAATGAGAATCAAAGACCATGGATGAAGATGAAATCGAATTGCAGCCCCAAGAACCAAACTCATTTTTTGATGGAATAGGTATATCTATTTCTTGGATTGTTCTGCTTTCCACCTGCCAAATAAGGACTTGCTCATTAACAGCATGAATTGCGAGATCTTTTATTGTCTCATACTTACGTGTCTTTTTTTATCTTAATATCTTATAGCCAAAATAATCATCAGTATCAAAATCTTAAGTTATCTTTCGTAATTTCATCTTCAGTTATACCACTAAGTCCAGAGAACATTAATAACATTACACTGTGAAAATGTTTTTTACTTAGTTCTGTTTGTATAAGTTTTCCATTATTGCCATAATACATTACCATGAATTTAGTAATCTAATACAACACGACACCAGTTTCTTACCTTATAGTTTTGTAGTTCAGAAGTCCAGATATAGTATGATTCAGCTGAGTTCTATGTGTATAGTTTTACAGTCAGAATCAAGGTGTTGATTCTGCGTTCCTTTTTGGAGCCTCTGAGGGAGAATCCTCATTTTAGACATTCAGATTTTTGACCAAACTTAATTCCTTGTGGCTGTAAAGTGGAGATTCTTACTTCGTTACTATTACAAGTGCCATTTTTTGCTTCTAGAGACTACCCATATTTCCTCTCTTGCTTTGCATGTGGTTCCCTGAGACAAAAGTGAGTAGAATCCTCATCTTTTGAATTTTTTGGACATTCCCTTCTATCACATCTTGACTCCAGCCAGAAGCTCACCCAAGATAATCTACCTATCTTACATCCATAACTTTAATCACATCTGCAGGGCCTTTTTGTTTGTTGGTGGTGTTTTTTAGCCCTCACCCAAGGATACATTTCCATTGATTTTTACAGACAAGGAAATGGGGGAGAAAAAAACATTGAGAAAGAAACCTTAATCTGTTGCTTCCCATATGCGCGCCTACCAGGGATCAAACCTGAAATCCAGGCATGTGTCCTGACCTAGAATCAAACCCACTACCTTTTGCTGTAAGGGATGATGCTCCAACCCAGCCACCAGGCCAGGGCTGCAGATTTTTTTTATTATGTTACCTAATGTTTAAGATCTAGGAATTAGGGTTTAGATATCTTTGAAGTATTCTTTCTACCACTGTCTGCATCTGATGCCCAAGCATTTATGGCTTTCCCAAATGGAAAACCCATTCAGTTTCCTGAGGTTCTCAGATTGAACATCCAGAATTTTTATCTGAAATTAAGCAGCTCTAAAATTCCAGATATTTAAGTTTTGTGCTCTTACTACCCTGGTCTCTCGTTCATTAAATAAAATTCATGCACAAATCTTCATATGTGGACCTATTATAAAACCAAAGAAACATCTCCCAACAGAAATAGTAGGGCAGTTTTTGAATATCCTGGTTCAAACAGGATGAAAATGAAGGTCAAGTGGAGTCACTAGTCTAAAGAAACACTGAAAACCAGCCAGGAACATTTCATTATATTTCAGTCCTGAGAATAATCCTTTATGGTTCAGGGTTCCCCTCTGTAAATCATCCTTGTTTTCTTTCATCTTAAGATAGCAAGTGTTTATAGCTGTGAAGTTTTTCTTTCCTTTTTTTTTAAAAATACATTTTTGATTTCAGAGAGAGGAAGGGAAGAGGGAGACAGAAACATCAATGATGAGAGTCATTGATCGGCTGCCTCCTTCATGCCCCCTACTGGGGTTTGAGCCTGCAGCCTGGGCATGTGCCCCGACTGGGAATTAAACCTTGACCTTTTGGTTCACAGTTTGACTCTCAACCACTGAGCTACACTGACTGGGTTATAGCTCTGTAGTTTTTTTTTTATTAAAAATTTTTTTAAAAACATATTTATTGATTTCAGAGAGAGGAAAGGAGGGGGAGAGAGAAAGATAGAAACATCAATGATGAGAGAGTTATTGATTGGCTGCCTCGAGCCCACAACCTGTGCATGTGCCCTGACCGGGAATTAACCCCGATCTCCGGGATCCTAGGTCAATTCTCAACTGGTGAGCCATGCCTGGCCGGGCTAGCTGTGTAGTTTTTATCAGCCTGCTACCTGCCTCTAGAATCTAGGAGTCCAAAAGTATTCTTTGTATTGTACTCTCTCTGCCTTTTTCAGTGCAAGTTGGCATTTTTTCTGATAGTTTAAATTTTTAGAGAATTCTATGTATCTCCTGTATATGACATGAGAATGTACTTTATTAGACAGAGGCTTACATAGCTCAGAGATAATACCTCTCTTTCAGACTTCTGAGATGGCTGAGGGACAGTGCCCTTAAGCTCCTTTGAAGCACCCAAGTTTGATTGCCTAAGGCACTCTCTTAATGACCTAAAAGGACATCATATTTTGTTCTTTGAGAAATCTGGAAAAAGTTTTAGTGTCTCACATACTGCTTTTTCTCTAGAACATTTTTTCCCCGCACAAATCTTCCTAATTTTAACTTATCTTTCCCCCAACTGTATAGTCTGAGAACTTTATGGTTGTTAAATGCTGCTATTATTATTATTATTATTATTATTATTATTTTATTATTATTGGGGTCTTTTTAAATTAGCTTTTTGTGAGGTTTTTTTGGATTTTACTTAAGCAGCAAGAAGAAACTGGGCCACATCTTCAGTGCTTTGCTAAAATCTCCTAGTTCATTGTTACACTTTATGCCTTCTGCATAAATACAGGATACAGTTTTACTAAGACATCTGCCGCAACATAACAAGGATATTTTTTCCTTCAGTTTCTAATAACATGTTTCTAATTTGCTGTTAAGCCCTGACTAACATTGTTTTTAAAGACAAGATTTCTATTAACAGTCTGTATGGCAGCTTAGGTATTCTATTAAGTCCATGTAGGATATATCTACCTTAGTCATTTTTTCTGAGTTCTCACTGGCCTGAGTTAACATCCATATTTCTACTAGTGGTCTATTTAAGGGATTATCAGAGTCCAAAGCTACTTCACATTTTTAAGTAATCGTCCATCAGTACTCTCTTATACTCTATGGTATTCTATTCTGTGGTACCAAAATCTATATTCATTTCTATTACTGCACCAAAAATTAAACAAACTTAGCAGTTTAAAACAACAGAGTTTGTCAGTTTGTATAGGTGAGAAAACTACCATGAGATAATAGGGCTATTTTCTGTGAATTTTATATGGCTGAATTCAAGGTGTCAGTAGGATGTTGTTCCTTTCTGGGACTCTAAGGATTAATCTGAGTCCAAGCTATTTCAGATAGTTGCTGAATTCACTTCATATTAGACCAAGATCCTCTTTTTCTTTTTGTCAGCTGCAGTTCTGGTCATTGTCCTTGTGCTCCTTCTCATGCTTTCCATGATTCCCCTTCCAGCAATAGTGAATTCAGTCTCTCTCAGACTTAAAATTGTGCTTCACCTCTGATGCCAGGTGGGGAAAGTTCTCTGCTTTAGGGGTTCATTTGATCAGATTAGGTTCACCCAGATTATCCAATATAATCACTTTATCTTAAGGTTCATAATGTTCCTAATACCTGCAAGTCCTCATGGCATAAGCCATATGTGACATATTCACAGTTCTAATGATTAGGGTATGGATACCTTTACAGGGTGGATATAGTGATGTGGATGGGTTAGTGAGTCTGCTTACCTTACAGCTCTTTATGCCAGTTCCTATTTGCACAAGCACTATCATCACATTCTTAATCCATAATATTAAGCTATTTTCCTTACTGTTAGTTTCTTTTATCTATCACACCAGTAGAATACTAATCCTAAAATAACACATGGATGTCATTTCTCTATTCTCCATTGTCCAGGAGATAAAAATATAAACCCAAGGTCCTTCACTTTTTACAACCTTGTTTTTCAAAAGGCTTCCCACAATTAGCTTTCTGTATCAGGCAAATGGGATATGGCCTCATTCCCTCAACTGCATAAGGGAAATTATATTTATAAACGTCTAACAATGGAAAAAAAGAAGTACTCACAATTCCTTAATCCTACATACGTAATACCATAAAATGATTGTACTAGATTTTTATATGAAATTGCTATTACATAGGTAATCTTATAATTTTAAAATTTAATGATTTTATTCATTTAGTTTTATGTGATCATATTGCCACATACTAAAGCATAGTTACTAACTTTTACCAAGAAACATGAGGATTATCAGTATGCCTTCTAAATCCTGTGTTATGTGTATGTACTAGTGTATGTCTTGGGGATATCTCTTATTGACTCACGTTTGAATATAAGGGTAAATGCAGAGTTACTCTTTCTTCACTTGAACATAATGAAGTATAATTAATGTGCTTGACACAGTGTCTGTAAATTCTTTCAAGAAAAACTCAAAATACTTATTTGCTTCATCTTGCCACAGATAAGCCTAGGTCATGGTTGAAGTAGTGCTAATGCTAAGTTATTTCATTTTTGCCCTGATTGTTAACACTTAATGATGTTTGTTCACCATTGAGCAAGTCACTTAATCTGCCAAGGACTTTGTTTTTAAATGTCCTATTAATACTGAAACCTCTCATTACAGTTTTTCAGAACACTTCTCATACATTCCCATTTGATCATCACAACAGTCCAGTGAGGTATGCATGGCAGATATTACTGTCCTCAGTTTACTGACCAGGAAACAAACTCAGAGGTTAAATGACTTGCCCAAGGTCACAAAACAAATAACTGTCTAAACCCTTGTCAGATTTAGACTTTTTAAGTCAGTGCTCTTGTCATTAAATGCTTTCACATTTATGTATTTAAGATAAACATTAAAAATGATCTATTTCTTGATGTGAATTATTATAGACATTGAAAACAAGTGATTATAAAGCATTTTGTAATTCTAGAGAGGTAAAAGAAAACATTCTATATATAATTTAAGTGGGTATTAACTAACAGTAAAGATTTTCTGCTGTTTTTATTATTCTTTGACACTTGTCATTTTTCCTTATTGAAGAATCTGTTTTTTTCTGATGGACCGGCCAGTGACACACAGTGATTGAGTTAGGCACCTGCTTAAACTCAGCTACTCTTGAGTCACAACCAGGAGCACTAATCAACTGAATAGCTTTTTAAGTGAGACTTCCATGTTTGCTTTTCTCTAGATCAGTAACCAAGATACCAGACTTGTTTTATCTTATGTTTTTTGGTAAGGCTTTCTTATTTTTGTTTCCACTTACGGCATTCATTCAGAGCAGTGTTTACAGAGTGCCATATGCTGTGCAAACAACCGTGTGATCTTAGTGAAGTCATTTAATCTCACTGGGCTGCTACTGATTCACCACTCTACCTTTATTCCTAGCTGAAGAGTGGACTAGAATAGGGTTTCTTATATTCTAAGGAACTGCCTGGGCAGTTAGAGTCTGGTAGGATGGAAGGAGGCTGGATGGAAGCAGAGTGTTCTATTCTGTTGAAGTTAGGGCATGCCCTGCTCCAGCTAACTCCATCTTCCATCACTTTTTAGCAGCTGTACTTTTATTGTTTTATCCATAGAGGTCCTAACCACTTGCATTTCCTCTTTCCTCTTTAATTGTAGCCTTTTGTCCCTTTTTAAATTTGTCTCAATCCTTTTATATCCTAAATTCAGAGGATAACTTCTAAATTCCTTGTCATATTTATGCCCCAATCATTGTATAGCCCAAGGTCAGAGGGTAATTTCTAAATTTCCAGTCATAGATGGAGGATACTGGTATAATATACCAGAATAGAATGGTAAAATTATAAAGGCTGAAAGAAAAAAGAAGGAAAGAAGAATTCTAAGGGATGAAAAAAAGAAAACTCATGTGTTGAAGGAGTTTGGTAAAAAGGAAAATAAGTCAGATATGAAGGGAAATGGTTTAATAGTTTTTTTAAAATTTGTGTTACTTGTTTTATTCTTAAGATTTTATTCTAGTTGCCTGGGAACTTTCAGTGTTCTAAAAATTTTTTTCATGAATAATTTTCTGTAACTGTTCTACATTTTTTAACCTCTCAATTGATTAGGGTTGAATAAAAAACAGTTCTTGTGTTTAAAATTTCTATTTCTTTTATGAATCAAAAATAGACTCCCTTTTTCTTTAATCTATTTTAATGCTTGAGAAAATAGAGTATGGCCTATATTCCGGTGCAAATTAAACATTTACATCATTTTAGATAGTCATGCATGCCTACCTTAAATTTGTCATTTAATTTTTGTTTCTTTAAGGAACTGATGCTACACACATGGATGGTGATCAAATTGTTGTGGAAGTTCAAGAAACTGTTTTTGTTTCAGATGTTGTGGATTCAGATATAACTGTACATAACTTTGTTCCTGATGACCCAGACTCAGTTGTAATTCAAGATGTTATTGAGGATGTTGTAATTGAGGATGTTCAGTGCTCAGATATCTTAGAAGAACCAGATATATCTGAAAATGTCATCATTCCTGAGCAAGTGCTTTATTCAGATGTAACCGAAGAAGTTTCTTTAGCACATTGCACAGTCCCAGATGATGTTTTAGCTTCCGACATTACTTCAGCCTCAATGTCTATGCCAGAACACGTCTTGACAAGTGAATCTATACATGTGTCTGACATTGGACATATTGAACACGTTGTTCATGATAGTGTAGTAGAAGCAGAAATCGTGACTGATCCTCTGACAACTGATGTAGTTTCAGAAGAAGTATTGGTAGCAGATTGTGCCTCTGAAGCAGTCATAGATGCCAACGGGATCCCTGTGGACCAGCACGATGGTGATAAAAGCAACTGTGAGGACTACCTAATGATATCCTGTAAGTCTTGGGGTATAGCGGTTTAAGGTATTTCTAAAGGCTGTCTATATCACATCAGTGTTATTTTCATGACTTTACTAAGAGAAATCTTATAAGCCTGTGAGCATTTTCATTTTAGTTTGTATCCTGTAAGATGAGCCATAATTAAGAAAAGTAAAATGGTATAAAGGAAAGAGTTATTACTATATAAAAATGGAGTAGATGATTTAGAAACATAAAAAAGAATAGAAATCATGAAAGATGTGATTAGGATGTTACCAAATCAGAATTGCCACTGAAACTTGAAAGGATTTCAGCTTGGTAAAAGATCTTTTGTCTTTATTATACAGTCAACTCTGTATTTACTGTCTTTCTTCCACAACAGTTTCTCTTTTCTTCAAAATAATAATCATTTAAAAAAAAAAGTTCACTGTTGGCTTTGGAATTATATTATTTTAATACCTTCAAATAAAGTAGTTCTCTACAAGACCATAAACTATATAGTTGTATGATTGATTAGAAATTTAATATAATGGTTCTATACTGTGTTCACTGCTCCTTATAGCATGCTGGCTTTCTTGACTGTGTTGAGTTCTTTATCAGTTAGGTCAATTAGAATTTTGCTTAAGTAGGCAGGTGTCATAATACTTCTGTTAGTAAATCCCAATATGTGTCTCTGATCTTTCTAACAGCTATTTTTAGATATGCTCTCCACATTAATGAGGTTTCAGTTTGTTAATTGGTCCTATCATCTACCTCCTGGTTTAAATAACTTGATTATCCTAAATTACCAACTCATGGGACTACTAAGTTCTTTGCAATCAAGTTTTATAGTATAGAGTTCAGATATTCTTATTAACACCAGAAAGAAATCTTTCCTCCTTGTGTTTTTGAACATAGCACAGCAAGGCTATTACAGACATTTTGTGGCAAAGAACAGGCTTTTATTTACCCCTTAATATGATCAAAGTATGTCATGTCCCAAATTGTGATCATGGTAATTTTCTGCATCCAGCTGAGCTTACTTTATAACTGTCAAGAGCCTGATTGTGCTGACTTAATAAACATTCAATGAATTTCTTTGTAAAACCTTGTTCTAGATAAAGTGTTTAGTATTACTAAACATAGTAATAATGTACAGTTTTTGACCTAGAGCTTATAACTTAGTTTGAAAGAAAAAGGCGTAGGGGTTGCATTTATTATAACTAGGATTTAATTTTAATATTATCTAATACATATAAAATGCAATTTTTAAGAATATGGCTTTGTTTAGAAATATTTGTTTTCTTGGTATCCTCTTGTTCTAGGAAAAAGTCACATTCATTCTCTAATTTAAAACTCTGTTTGGGAAGGGGATGGGGGGGCATTTATTTAGGGTTGGCAGGTAGACTTCATGTAGAGAAATTATGGCCTATGTAATTTATATATGATAGAGAAAATGGAGAAGCTGTTAGTGAGTTCATTTACATGCTTTTCATAGCCTGAGAAATGGAAGTACCTCAGTTTCTATGGTATCTTTATTCAACATATATATATTAAAGAATCATGTTTATACTCTTTAGATATTTTAGTAATTTATTTGATCTATATGTATACCTAATAGTTTTTAGAGAGTCCATATTGGTAAATTTCTTCCCTTTAAAGATCTTACTTAAAATGATGATAAAAAGTTTATTTTTAAGTTGCTGTTGTAGTGTATCTGGACACAGATGTTTGCTGTTACAGCCTAACTGCTATATACAGAATTGATTATGTCTTTCTTGAGGACAGATTCTAGTGCATCTTGTCCACTTAGGTATCTTTTTCATCAAACTAGACGTATTTGGTATGAAATATTTGTTGAATTAGCAAATATATTAACTTGATAACTGAAATTCTATGGATATCATTCCTCCTCCTAACCAGTAGTTTAGGTGTTTTGTTCAGTTGACTTAGTTTCTAGTTAATTAGGGCTTTGATTATTATGAATATATAATAAAAAGAGGTTCAGTGAATGAATAAATAAATGAAGCTGAAATTGTCATATCTGATACATGAACCCTGATATCAATATAATTTATGGTTTGTTGGAACAGAGATGGTAAAATGCATATTTTACAACTTTTATATGTTAAATATATTTACTTATTTCTCTATAGCTAATAATTCAGTATGTATGTATCTTACCATTGAAGTTCCCTCCAGGTTTTTTGGGTGGGGAGGGTTGACTGGGAAACCACAATAAAATTTTGGATTTTCACAATAAATATAAACAAGGAAGAGTAAGTAAGGATATTTTAGCAAAGATATTTTGATCATTTTTTAAAACTTTGAGAAAATTTGGAGAAATTTTTGTTTATTAAAGGTTTTCTTCATGACTAAAAAGTATTTAGACTATATTGCAGTAAATACATAGTTTCACAGGGGATAATACATGGCAATAAAAGGAGATGGAAGTTACACTGTTAGAGTATAGGATAGAAACTGAATAGAAAAATAAAAATGTTGTCAAGGTAAAAAGCACTGTAGCAGCAATAATGTAACTGACTATAATCCAAGGCCCTTTGGATCAGGCTTTAAAAATTGCAAAATGAAGTGGTTGAAAGAAAGATGTAGACATAATTATGGAGAAAATTTAGGAGTCAGAAACAGGAGATGAATAGGAGGCAGAAACAAAAGGTGAAACCCACATGCAGAAAACTACTAACATGACAAAGAGAGTTTTAACTAACAATTACTAAAAATCTTCTCCTATGCAGGCAAAATCAGAACTTTGGTAGAAATGGCCAAAAGTAAACTTTAGAACTTTGGAAACTAACTTGCAGCATTTCAGTAAGTTATTTATTCAAGAAAAAAGGCTAAATCTTGGTAATAACATTGAGTTTTGTGTCCTTTTAGTTTGCAGTCTTCACATCCACTTCTCCCAAAGTTTTGTGTGAGTTAACTTTAAAAACCAACATCCCTTTTTTTTTTTTAATCCTCACTCAAGTATGTTTTTTTCCATTGATTTTTAGAGAGAGTGGAAAGGAGGGAGGAAGGTAGAAAAAGAAAGAAACATCAGTCTGAGAGAGACACATTGGTTGCCTCCCACACGTGTACCTACTGGGGCCGAGAGATTGAACTGCAAACCAGGTATATGCCCTTGACCAGGAATCAAACCCACAGCCCTTTGGTGTGGGAGCTCATGCTGTAACCACTGGCCAGGGTGAACATCTTTTTCCCCCCATGATAAATAAAAATCAGTAACCTTGGGCGCTTACCAGAGAAGGCAGAAAGTTGTCAGAGCTCCTTCAAACCCCATTTCAAGAGAATTGTTACTATCTAATCTGTCTAATGGTTACCTAGAAAGACTCCATTTGTATGGAAATTTTAATGGAAATTAAAATTTTAACGGAAATTCCATCTCCATTTTAATGGAAATTCTGAGCTTGCTAGTAAGCAGCCTTTTCTCTGGAGTTTTCCAAAAAGGTTATTGAACATCACTCTAAGGCAATAGATACAGTTAGGGCAACCAATAGGTGTTACAACTGTAAAGCTTAGGAAAATCTTCGGAATGAGATGTCCATGAGAACTTTGGGAAGCTGGGATATATTCCTGGGAACTTGAATATGAGAATGTAAGGGTGTACTTCTGGTAGGGAGAAACCTGGCAAGGTCCAAACCTTGGATTAACCTTGAAGTTCTACCCAAGCAGGAAGTAAAAGCCAGGGTGGCGTATAAATTACCTGGCTAAATGTTAAATATATATTGCAACGTGCACACAGAGCTCCTTGGCAAAATTGTGAGAATTACTGGTTGTATGGAAATCTTAGTCCATTCTATAGTTGACCACTTAATTAGTTCTTCAGTGGCCACACAAACAATACAAGCTATGGAATTGGTTCACAAAAGTTACTACACAAGAAGCAGAAAACCATGGGAATGGAAGAATCTGATTTCAAGCATTGCCACTTTATATGTAAAATCTTTGATTTTCAACAAGAGTTATGAGACATGCAAAGACTCAAGGTAACATGGCTTAAACGTAGAAAAAATACAGTAAATAGGAACTCATCCTGAGGAATCCCAGACAGTGAACTTACTGATAGAGACTTTAAAGCATCTGTTGTAAGTTTTTTTAAAAGGACTAAAAGAAATCATATGTAAACAACTAAAGGAAAGTATAAGAATGATGTCTTAAAATGAAAGAATATCAATAATAAGAATCAAACAAAAACTCTGGACTTGAAAGTTCTTTAAATGAAGTCAGAATTTTATCAAAGGAGCGCAACAGTAGATTGATCCAAGCAAAAGAAAGAATCTGTGAACTTGAAGGTACATCAAATAATATTACCCAGTGTGAGAATGGGAAAGGAATAAAGAAAAATTAATAGGTATATTAACCTATAAAACACTGGTAGGCATGTGAACATACACTGTCCCAGGAAGGAAAGGAAGAAATGGGCCAAAAGAGTATTTCAAGGAAGAAAAAAAAAACTTAAAGGAGCAATAACTGAAAACTGCAAATTTGACAAGCAGTATTCATCTATACATATCTACTAAGAAGTTTAGGGAACTTGTTAAATTGTCAAAATACAGAGAAAATCTTGAAATCAGTTACACAGAAGTGAATCATCACATAGAAGTAACCCTCAAAAAGTAATAGCTGTTTTATCATTAGGTAACAGGAGGTGAGAAGACAGTGGGGTGATACATTAACATGTTGAAGGAAAAAAGACTGTCACCAAGAATTCTATATCTACCTAAAGTTTAAAAAACGAAGGAAAAACTTGACATTCCCAGGTAAAGAAAAATGCAGCGATCCAGACTGCAGTATTTATTATACAGTGGAATAGAATAAAGAGTCCAGAAATAAATCCATTCATCTATGGTTCAATTGATTTTTCACAAGGCTGTCAAGACATGCCACTGGATAAAAGAATAGTCTCCTCAACACATGATGCTGGAATTACTATATACACAATAAGTGAAGTTGGTTTGCTACCTCAAACACAAAAAACAGATTAAAGATTGAAACATGGGAGCTAAAATTAGAAGAAAAAC